TCTTTGTTGTCAACAAGGAAAAGTTCAATTGCCAATCTTTCAAGAATCGCCAGATGCTTTAAAAAATCTTCTAGTTATGAAGGTGGTCATTGTTCTATGAAATTTAGACAAAATATTCGAACATATATTTCTATTTTTGCTTTTACATCAATGGGATCAAAAATTGACAATACAATCAATTTAAGAACAGGCTGTATGTTTTTAGAATTAGTGGTCAAAATTATCACAGGATTGGAGCACTCATACCAGAAAAAGGCCAACAACCAAAATTCTCACAACTTTATGTAAATGATACAAAAAATGAAGTCCAAAATAGATTACATTCCTTCAATAATGGAGAAAATCTTGATGACACTATTGTTTAAAGTTTGAAGGATATGTTGGACATGCATAATCCTATTGCCTAGGTGTTTAGAATGGCAAGAGATAAATTATCTTCATCTGATAATAAAAATATACGAATCAAGTTGCTTGGTATAAGATCAAGTTGCTTGGTATATGATCAAGAGAATATCGACAATATAACAAGCTGACCTCAGCTGAAATTGCTGCACTTATTTTTGGAGATTTTGGCCAATCTAATGGAAGAAGATATATAATAATAGAGCATCAAACAAATGTGTTACTAAGAATATCATCCTTCTTTCATGTCAATGCAATATCCATTATTATTTCCATATGGTAAGGTTGGACATTCAATATTCTTATAATGATGGAAAAAATAGAACAAAAAAAAAAACAATTTGACAATGAGAGAATACTATGCATATCGAATACAACAAAGAAACTTTGAAGCAATGACTCTTATTTTTGTTAGTAGGTTATTCTAACAATATATTTTGATGCATATACAACCATAGAAGAAGATCGACTACAATGGATTAGGCAAAATCAAACAATTTTACGCCCAAAGTTGTACAAAAATGTTTGTGATGTAGTTGTTTGTGGAGATACAATAGCTACTACTATTGGAAAAAGAATTGTATTGCCTTCTTCTTTCATAGGTGGTCCATGATATATGGTCCAAAACTATCAAGATGCAATGGCCATATGTAGAATGTTTGAAAATCTTGATATTTTTATGACTTTTACTACCAATTCAAAGTAGCCTGAGATTCACTATATGGTTGATCAAATTCTAGGACAACCAGCTAATGATAGACCAGATGTTAAAACAAGAGTTTTTCAAGATGAAACTTGATCAACTAATAAAACATGTAGTGAATAGACACTATTTTGGTCAAGTTATATTAGGTAAAGAAAAGTATTATATTAATTTTTTAATTTATAACTATAATCTTATTCTTACTAATTACTTATTATATTTTGTCCTTCTTTTAGCTGTATACACAATTGAATTTCAAAAAAGAGCTCAACCACATGCGCATATCCTACTATGGTTTCACCAAAATAATAAGTATCTAACACCACAAGATATAGATAAAATAAGACTAGCAGAATTATCATCTCAAGTGGATGATCTAGTTGGATTCAATGCTATTTCACAATTCATGATACATGGACCATGTGGAGCTACCATAAAAATGCACCTTGCATGGTTGATGGCCTTTGCAACAGAAATTATGCTAAAAAAATTTACTAATGAAATGACCATAGATATGGATGATTTTCCTATTTATAGAAGACGAGATGATGGCAGACATGTCAAAAAAGGATATATCAACTTGGATAACAGGTTTGTAGTTCCATATAATAAATTTATTACTCACATTTTAGGCACATCTAAATATTGAATGGTACAAGCTATAAAATATCTCTTTAAATATCTTCACAAAGGTTCAAATAGAGCAACCATGGTAATTGAAGAAAATATTTTTGTCTAAAATACAAACAAATCAATGCAGATAAAACAATAACACAAGTTGATGAGATCAAAACTTATTTAGATTGTTGATATGTAATTTTATAAATAAATTTATTTAATTAAGCATTTAATTAAAATCATTATATATTTCTTCTTTATGTTAATTTCTCTAGTATCATAAATTTATCTATTATTATATGTATTTATAACTAATTTATAATTATTAAGATTTAGAATATTTAAATTCACTATAAAATATATTACATAAACAAATTTGCTATAAATTGCAATAGAATAAATTTATTAAAATTACTTATAATATTTTACATAATATATCAGTTGAAATTATAATTAATTCATATTTATTATTTTTGAATTATATTTAAAGAAAGTTTATTAGAATTTATGCTTATATAATCTTAATAACGGTAATAACAAACAGTTATAAATGATAATTTAATAAATAATTATTAACATTTTATATATATAAAAATAATATTATTAAACTTTTATATTTATTACTTATTTTATATTTATTAAGTGTACAAATTTTTATATAATTTTTTATAAATAAGTAATACTAAATAAATAATAGTAGTTGTTATACGTATAAATTTTTAGTCAATTTTTTTAATTAAATTTTATATTGACTTTAATATTAAGTGTTATCTTATTTTTATTTTTATTTTTAAACAACATTGAACACATTTTTTTCCTTTCTTATATACTCAAATTTTTATAAATTTTATAAATATTATAATTATTGCTTATATTTCAAATATGTGCCAGCATGTGAAGTAAGTTAGAATTTTTAACTTTGACATACATTATAGAAGTTCAGCTGTTATGAGATTAATTTTTCATTTACTAGGAGAAAATTAAGTTACTCTACAAGATTCAAAACATTTGCCAACAGTCATCAAAAGAGAAAAAATAGAACAAACCATATTTATAGAATGGATGAAAATATAACATCAACAAAAAGAATAAAAATCCTTATTATTAAAGAGGATAACAAATATAGAGGATGTACAAAAACTATTGTATGTAAAAAGGTATTTCATAATCTTCTTCAATGTAATTATATTTAATATAATAAATTTTATATTTTAAAATAAATTAATTTAATTAAAATAAAACAAATTCCTAATTTATATTTATGAGTATCTACATGGATAGTAGATATTTATGAATATTGGTGATGTAGATATTTAAGAATTTTAAAAATCATAAAAGATAATATGAAATTATAGATTTAAAATTGTACTATTTTAAAATCATGTAATATAATTATTTATTAAGTTTCAAAAATTTATAAAAATATCCAAATGATATATTAATTTAATTTAAATAAATTTATTATTTTAATATTCAAATTTATTTTTATATCTAGTTTCTGTTTAATTTTAGTTTATTTCATTTTTTATTTATTCTTTAAATTATTTAAAATTTTTCTATTATTTTTATTTAACTCTATTATTTAAATAAAATAAAAATATCATTTAAACTTAATTTAACTTTCAATTCTGCTTAAATTTTTAATTGCATAAATCTACTATCTATTAAGTTATCATCTAATTTTTAATAAAAACTATATGTTTCTTTTCTTCTTCGTTGCACTTTTGGTCTCATAATTATTGTGTTTATTCAATTGTACAATTTTGATTCTCCTAATTTTTTAATTTAACAAATTTACTCTCTCAACCATTGGTCCTTAACTGATTTTTTTCATTGTTATTGAAAATCTATCCATCTTCATTACACCTGTTTTTTTTTTTTACTTGGCCTATCTTTATTCTCCACTCCTCCTAGTCCCACTCTTCTTCTTTACATTAGTCTCCTTCTCTTCTATATTGCAAAGTTTGAGCATAGATATAAGCCATCTCTTTATTTATTTTGAGAGAAGCATATGTTTGTACAAACTTAAAGCGAAAATTTGGCTGATTTTGAGATAAAAAAAGAGTATTAATGAAATTATGTGGTTAGATATTATTGATGCTTCTAATTATTAGTTTATAATGATGTAGTAAAAGAGTGTTATTCACATTAACATTTTTGTGTCAAAGTTTATTTCTCTAATAATTCTCTTTACTTATAGAATGTGAAGATAAAGAGAAGATAAAAGAGATAGAGAGTTAAAAAGATAAAACAAAGTCATTTCATGATAAAACTAAAATAGATGTACATTATGAAAGATCAAAAAACTTATAATTTAAAAAAGAAGACTTAGCAAAACTTTAGTGAAAAGAGAGGAGAAAGAAAAAATTATACATTAACAATAAAATTCATATAAAAAGAAGATATATATTGATGATGACAAAATTTGGCAAAATAAAATAAAATCAAGAAGATAGATTCCAACAAGGATAGAATCTAAATAGGGAGAGAGAGTAAGAAAAAGGTAGTATAGTTCTATTAAAATTTAGATGATAACTTGTCGAGATGATAAAATTTGTTAAATTAAAATAAATAAAACAAAAATTACACAATAAAAGTTTAGAGATTAAAATTAAATAAATATAACCGTTGGAGGCAAAATTGCAAGAGAAAAAAATGTGTATAATTGTTAAAAAATAGTTGAGAGCTCAAAAGGAAGAAGAAAAAATTTGTTAAATTAAGAAATTAAAAAAATTAAAATTAAATAAATAAAATTTAAAGGACTAAAACAAATAATTATGATAATTAAATAATAAAATTAAAATTTAACCTATTATTTATCGATTAAAAATTTAAATTTAATTAATAAATAACATAATCAACGTTAAACTTCAACAACCATAGCTAAATTTTTGTCGTTATTATTTTTACCTTTTTGTCAATGAAAATACATACTGACGCAAGGAGGGGTAACTTATGGTCCACTTGCTAGTGAAGCGCGTGAAGGCATAATAGTATTACGCTGACGAAACGCAAACCTTAAGTCGGCTTAAATGGTGGACGCGAGCTGCTGAAAGCCACGCCGTTTCCATATTCATCTGTGTACACTGTACACTACCACTCTACGAGGAAACGGTCCATAAAACGGAAGCGTAACCGGCTAACCCGGTACCCAAAAAAGTTGCATTTGGGTTGAATTTGGGTTCATTTGAAAGCCAACCCCAGTAGCAGTCACCTAACCCCAGTCAGATTTTAACCCAGGTTGGTTTATTTAAAGACAGACTCAGAACTAAGCTGGGCTGTGAACTTGTTCACCCTTCCCCTTTCTTCAATCTCACTCCTAAACACCCCTTTTCTCTTTCTCACTACTTCCAATCTTCCCCTAACCATCTGTTTTTTCTTCCCGATCTATTAATTTTGACTGGATAATGATGTAGATAGAGAATAAAAAAGAGACTAGTGTGCAGTGAGAAAAGTTTTAGTTGGTCACTCTTCTTCTTGTGGAAACAAACTTGCTTAGTTTGGTTGTGTTGTGTGGGTTGTTTAGTTCTGTATGTTGGAATTGTTTCATGGGTGAAGTTGGAGAAGAGGTGTTAAAACTTAAGGAACAACACATGGATGTTAATGGAGATAAGTGGTTGAATAGTAGTTGCTCACAGTGCTGTGCAAATTGGCGCCGTTTAAGTCACCCGAATTTCTGTTCAATGGCTCCGCTTAAGTGAAAAAAAAAAAATATTGTCCTCTCAGTTTCTTTCTTGAGATCTTTATAGACATTGACTAACAATAAAGGGATCAAATTTAAGTACCTTGATCTAATAAGATCCGTGCTTTTAGTAGTACTCATCATGAAGAGACTTGGCAGCTCCGATTCTTTGGGTGCTCTCATGACGATTTGTCCAACAGCAGGTTAATTGAATTGAGACTTTGGTTCTTAACTTGTTTTCCTGTTTTAAAATTCAGACAGATCCATGATGCTTGTTTGGTTCGTGCTTTGTCTTGTCCCAGCTTTTTTTGTGATCAACCATTTCAATTACTGAAACCTTTCCAATTTTCTTTTCAAATTTTTTTATTATCTTTTTTGTTTTCTATATTGCATTACAACTCATCATGTTCAATTATGGCTTTCGTGTCTGGCTATCGCGTTCCTTGTTTGTTTTAAGAGACAACATCTTTTATGTTACTGACTATTGTGTCTGATTTGCATTGATACAACAGACGAACACAGTCCGAGGAACAACCACGTGTATGGTAGGGAGTTTCAGTCGATGTTGGAAGGGCTAGATGAAGAAGGGTGTGTTGAAGAATCAGGGCATCACACTGAGAAGAAACGAAGACTAAGTGTGGATCAGGTGAAGGCTTTGGAGAAGAACTTTGAGGTAGAAAACAAGCTGGAACCTGACAGAAAGGTGAAGCTTGCTCAAGAGCTCGGTTTGCAACCAAGACAAGTAGCCGTTTGGTTCCAAAACCGTCGAGCTAGGTGGAAAACAAAACAATTAGAAAGAGATTATGGCGTTCTCAAAGCCAATTATGAAGCACTTAAGCATAACTATGACACCCTCCAACAAGACAACGAAGCCTTACTCAAAGAGGTATAGAATTTTTATAAACCCCACTAATATCTCCATTACCCTTTGGAGAAAGAGTATTAAGAAATCTAAAAAGTTATTAATTTGGCAGATTAAGGAATTGAAATCGAGGCTGCAGGAAGAGAACAATGAAAGCGATGCTTCGGTTAAAGAAGAGATGATAACCCTGCCAGAGTCGGAATACAAGATGATGGAAACCGCCATTCCTGGATCCGACTCAAAGGAATTGAATTATGAATGCTTTAACAAGAGTGATGAAGTGGGTGGTGCTTCGCTTTTCAAAGACGGTTCTTCAGACAGTGACTCTAGCGCGATCTTGAACGAAGAGAACCATAGTCCGAATAACGCGGCGATTTCTTCATGTGGGGTTCTTCAAAGTCATGAGCTTTTGATGTCCCCTGGGTCGTCTTCGCTTAAGTTCAATTGTTCCTCGTCGTCTTCGCCTTCGTCCATGAACTGCTTCCAGTTCCAGAAACAGTACCCGACACAGTACGTGAAGATGGAAGAACACAATTTCCTCAGTGCAGACGAGGCTTGCAATTTCTTCTCAGATGAACAACCACCCACACTGCAGTGGTACTGTTCCGACGAGTGGAGTTAATACAAACAAAAATTTAAAAATAAGGAAGAAATAGAAGAAGAAGAAGAAACTGCCACCAACTTCATGGGTTTTAAAAAAAAAGACATTTTGCAGGGTGGGTGTATAGTAATGGAAAGAAAGATTGTAAAAATGAATGAATGAATGAATTGGGTTGGGTTTGGCATGGTGAAGACGAGAGAGGAAATTGAAGAAATTGAGAGAGGAGAAAGAGTTGAAGGACGCATGGCGTGGGGTCGGGATGAGAGGTTGATGACGATTAAGGTTAATAATAATCATCAATCTCTCGGCCGTGCGGGGAAGGGGTAATTTATGAATAATAATAATAATGATTAGGTGGTAATGAGATCAAATCTATGCTGTAAAAATTTTGGAGTTCATGCCTAGAAAATTTATAATGTTCTTACAGATCCATAATTGCACCGTGTTTTCCTCTTCCCTTTCTTCTTAGTAGTTTTTTCCGCTTTTACTCTTTTATATTATTTTTTACAAATAATAAGCAATATATATTGAAAGTAATGGAAAATGTTACAGGAATGCCTAATTGAATAAAGACAATCAGACATCAGAGAGAAATAGGAGAGGATGAGAAAAAAAAAAAAGTAATAAGGATGTTTTTACACAACTTATTTAATAAAATTGTGAAAATGGTAGAGTATAAATAATTTTAAACTTTATTTATATAAATTAAAAATAATTTATTTTGATAATTTATATTAAAATAAAATTAAAAGTTATAATTTTTTTTAGGAGTTATTCATAAATTATTTCAAATAAACTAAAATATAATAAATTTTTGTAAGATTAATAAAGTCTTTATTAATTAAAATAAAAGACGTTTCAATTGTTAGTAGATGTATAAGAAGAGAAGAGAGAAATTGATAAATACAACAGTTTTGTTAATTTTAACCTTAACTTCATTTAAGTATTTAAAAATAAAAAAATACATTTTAAAATTTTGTTATACTTTTTTCTTAAATATATATATATATATAGATGATGTGATATTATAATATGAAGAGAAAAATAAAAAGATATTAAATTTGATAAATAAATATTAACACTATTATAATATTTATAAATTAAAATTGAAAATATGTAATTAATAATGTGAAAAAATATATAAAGAAAAGAAAAAAAATAAATATAAAAAATAAGTGTGAAAATATAAAATTTGAAATAAAATTGGGATTTGTTTTAACACTTTATAGTACTTTACCACGGGAAAGAATATTCCGTGAAACAAATAAAAAGGACTATAATCAATATATTTTTGTCTATTTCCGATAACCCTTTTCTATAGTGAATAAAAGATGCTAAACAAACTTAAATTTCTTGTGTAAATTTACTCAACTCGAATTGATGCATATTCTTATATTGAATTTCAAGATTTATTTAGATGAAGAAAATATTACTTATCTCGGATTAACACGTGTTCTTCGATTTAATTTTGAGATCCATGTACACAAAGAAAATATTATTTAGAGATATCATTTTAGCGCCTAACTATATCTCACCCAGTAAAAGGATATTTTGTGAATAAAATAATATTTATAAATAATTAATTTTGTAAAATGTTTTCAAAAATTAATCTTATTTAAATAAGATATTATGTTTAGTCTTGTAAATAAAAAATATTAAAAAATTTACTCAACTGAATTTAAATTTGTTAAAGTCTAAAGAATTATTCAAATGCTTTAAGACTCAAACAAAAAGTATTAATATTTTTTAAAAAAAAATGTGTAAAATTGGTACCTTAATCTTACTCTTTTTTAAACTTTATTTCTTTATCTTTTATTTTTCTTTTACAAAATAAATTTCTATCTCTGCGCAAGACTTTATGAAAAAGTCTGCTAATTTTTTAGTATGCAAAACACACTTAAGCAAATTACATTTGATTTAATTTGTTGGTCCATGTGAAAGGATTTTGTATAAAATACACTTTCTAAATACATTAAGGTCAAACTAATATTTTAAAAGACCAAAATGAATCTTAAAAGATATTTATATTAATAAAATAAGTAAAAATTTAAGTTTAAATTTATAATATAGGTCGAAACTATTTAAGGAATGTTTAACTTCATTATACTCTACCTATTTAAACAAATTTTGACAAAGTTAACAAAGAAGACAATTTTGCTATGTGGTACAAAGTTATAACACTAAAATGAAAATTTAAATATAAGTAGAGGACCAGAAAACTATTTTTTATTATTTACAATAAGATAGCCATCTGCCCTTCTAAATCAAACAATAGCACGTAAACATTGAGAAATACAACTAAAGTTAATAGCTTTTTACGAAATTTCATCTCTCGCTATGACCGTAGACATCTTTGAAAAAAAAACGTATTTATATTTTGGTTCACCTGCTGAAGTGTTAAATTTAACAGTAGAGTGAGAAAGAAAAACAATTGTCAATGAAAATAAGTTGTAGAAAAAGAAAATGTGATTTTAGAAAATTTATTCATAATTTTGAATCACCATTATTAAGAAATATATTTTCATTAAAATGAATTAAGTGAGATATATATTTATTTTTAAAAAATAAGTACAATTTTAAAGATTTAAGGGGAGAAATTTTCAATACAAATAATCTATTTATTTTTGCTATATTTATTATCTTTAGTTTGTTCTTGTCAATTAAAATCACATAATAAAATTTAAAAGCTGTGTCGCATTTTAAATATGCATGCCACATGATTTTTATATTTGAATATGAATATGAATAATATTCGTAAAAACCATGAAAATTGTGTACCTGAAGCTCCCATCCCATGTGAAAATTAATCATTCATTACCTCCTCCAGCCCAAGTTTGATAAGAAAATTCCATCGGCTTCTCACAAGTATTCTTTGAGTTGAGTGAAATTATTTATATGCAATAATTTATTTAATATTTAATATATTTATGTTTATTGAAATTTGAACTCAAAATTATAAATACTTTAATACTAGTTAAATAATTTAAAATAAAATTAATATACATTTTAGTACAATTTTTAATAAGAGTATTTTTAAGTTAGAAAGGTAAGATTTGTTTTTTAAAAAATTAGGATAAATATAATTCTTTTAAAAAATTTCTGAGAAAAGAGTTTCGGTTTTTTTTCATAAATCATAAAGAGTACATTTTTAACGCTATAAAAAAAATATTACAAAAGCCCTTTTAAGACAAAAAAAAAATGGCAAACGTATCCTTAATTTGCTGTCTTACTGAGCTTGCGAGCTTCTCAAAAATTTCCTATCTGGATATACTATGAAACTATGTACACTAGAATAATCGTATTATATTTTTTTAAAAAATATCATTTCATTTGCTTTTCTAAATATTTTCACTTCTTTTATTAATTTTCTTTTACATTTCATATTTCTAATTTTTTTAAATATTTTTCAAATAAGAATATCAATGAAAAGTGTAGTTTTGATATATTTTTATCATTATTACTATTTATCTTTCTATATATATTTTTAACCCAATCATTTTGTTATATTGTAATTTTTTATAGATAAACATGTTAAAAAATGCATTCATTTTTTTAAACTTATTCTCTATTTTTAGAATCGTCCTTTGATTAATTTTGCTCTAACTTAGTTACGTAAACTACTAAATCAACCCAATGTTTTTGTAAATGCTAAGTTGCTAACTCTATACCACCCACTAGAATCAAGTTATAATTAGTGAGAGTAAGAATGAAAATCGGATTTAAATATAATAAATATTTTTTTCCATATAAAGTGAGCCTAGACTAGATTATAAATAGTTATCTATAAAATTGAGTGGGTAAAAATATATTATTTTTTTAAACTCTATTTATATCTGTACATTGTATTAACTATATTTAATAATTATATTTTAAATGATACTTAAGTATTTATAATTAATTAAATAAATTTGTTTGTGTGTTTTATAATTAAAAATTAGATTATCTTTGAAGACTTTTTAATAGTGTTATAGATTACACTTTTCACCAATATCCCATTTTTATTAGCTTTTCATCGTTAACGTTAGTATTACGATAAATGTTGTGTGTTTTTAGTATAGTGAGACAAAGATCATGTCACTTTAAAATTATTTTAGGTTTAAATTATTTTGTTTAACAATTTTTTGTAAATATTAAATTTTGTTAGTCTAATTATTGAATTAAATGTTCTTTTAAAATAAGCTTAGTTTTAAAAATATACAAATAAATATTTATTTAATAATTCATCAAACAGTTTTATACTTATGTTTAATATATATATATATATATATATATATATATATTTAAAATATAAATATATTAATTATAAAATAATTTATCTAAACATAATAAACATTATCAATATAAATAAATAACTTTATTCAACAATTACATCTATAAAAATAAATATTTATAAAAAATTATTAAATAAATAAAATTTAATTAAAATTATTTTTAAAGTAACTCGATTTTTGAACGCGCACATTCGCCACAAGTTTAACAAATTGTATTGTATGTTATTATGATGAAACCCTTTTCTCCCTCGAGTGTCTATACAATAATCACATGCATGGGTTGCCCCTCATATGCATTTTACTTCGATTTAGGGGCCACAAAACAATTTAGTGAGAATAGAAAGTTTGAGATTACCTTTCATGACATCGACAACTTTTACATTCGACTTGACACCGATACATAATTTCCTTTCTCCCATTTCTTGATAACCTTGCTAAAGCTAGCAATATTCTAAAATCTCTCTTTCAAGGGTCATGGAATTGTGGTGCTTGTAGAGGCTATGGTTCAAATGAATATGAAATAGGTTGTGGTCTTGGTAGGAGAAGTGTTGGTTGGTCAGGTGCACAAAAAACAAAATATTTCCAAAAGAACGAGTGACTCAATGACATAACCATAATTTAATGGTGTTGGCTTAGTTAAAACATATGATGAAGCTGTATATTATGCCATGTAATGGAAGTTTAATTTGAACAATTGTTGTAAGAACTCATTGGAATACTTATCCATCATGTGTTGATTATTTTAGTTTTAATTTTTATAATTTTACGAACTAAAATAACTATCAGTTGATGATATCAAGAAATAAAATAATTTTATTTTAACATTAAAAAAATTTAAGTAATTAATAATTATAATTTTTAAAAAGAATTCATTATACCATCCAAAATTTTGATTTGAATTCATTTTAATAGATTAAACTAAATGTTGTCTATTTTGCCATCTAATATTTGTGCATGAATTTTGAGGGCTACTAGTAGGTATGTTTGTGTTTCGTCCATGAGCTTACTTTAATCAAATCTGATGCCAAAAACAAAAAAGACAAAATATGATTAAAGAGAACGACCCTAAAAAGCTGTGCCGCATGATTGGATCTGCTTCGTAACATTAACATCCTTCACTTTTATGTTAATAAAGGTTAAAAAGCGAAAATGAAAAAAAAATCTTATA